ATTCATCCTACTCAATACGCTCACAAAATTTCATGAGAATCGGTCAAGCCGTTTCGGAGGAGTATGGGAACGAAAACTGGGACACGAGAATTTTATATGTAAGATATAGTATCCGACGCACATGACTTTTACAGAATCTTTCTCGGTAGCTTATCATAAGGGTCTGTAATATAGTTGAGAACATGTATAAAGACATTTGACATGATGACCTCGGTGGTCTAGCAGTTTAGCACACCACCTGACTTAGGATGGTCGCAGGTTCGATATCTCCCACGATACAAACTTTTGTATTCATGAGTATGATTGTGTGTATTGATCTAGGTGTTATCTATGTATGTTATATATGTATTTATAAGACAACCTTTGCTTATGTTGGTACTAGATAGCGCTGTGGGAATATGTCAGGGTTTTTATTTTTCTTAAAATTGTTTCCTCTTCAGGGTTTTTCATACTATACTAAAAAAGAAACATTGGCAACCCTATGTGGGCCCTCTATTTGGCGTTTAATCTCGTGGATGTGACATAGACGTGTTAAACATCGGGGGAGTCGGGGATTCAGTTCCTGGCTCAAGAGATTAGTGTCGGTTTTGTAATGAAATTATATGATTGCGGTGTTTAGCGTTTTGATCTGTTTTATTTTCCTTTTTGATATTTCGGCGGTTGTATATCTTACTTCATTAAGAAATAAGAGTGGCATAAAAACATTCAAATAGAGAAAAAGCTTGTCTTTTTGAGGGCTTCTACCGCATTTATAAACTGTTTTAGTTTGTTAAGTTTTAGTTTTATGCATAGTATAATAAATATGCATAGAGAATAGGAAAAACTAATAAATAGGTAAGTTCATATTATGTCCAATTACGTACATAATTGGATCTATCTTTGATCTTTGGTTTCATAAAATGTATCCAAGCACAGTAAGTAAGCTAAACTAGTCTTACTAATTATATAAGAGACTATCGCTTGACTAATCAATTGATCTATAAACACATTCAAAAACAGATCGTCATTATAATACCTATTCTTTTTTTAAACGCACAAAGAACAATGTTATTTGTTTATTTTACATTTCGTTCTTAATTTAAATATTCAGTACCTACAGCATATGTACTGCCATAAGTAATTAAATTAAAAACAAAATGCGCACTACACAACATTGTTTACGTCCATTGAATCATATTAATTCAAAACACATAACAATTCAATTCCTCGCATCACACCGTAGCGAATCTCAATCACGGTTCGGACCCCACTCGACTATTGTTTACACTGGAGCAGTGAGTCGTCACAAAATAATTAGCGAATATCGTAAGGGCGATGATTGTACCGTGGATGTAGGTTGATATGGAAAGCTATTTGAGGCGTGCTTTGAATTTGGAACGATGTATGAAGTATGTAAATGGCCAGTTAAAAATTTAAAATGGTATAATTTTGGAAATGTAATGATATATTCTTTTTAAGTCTAATATTTGTTAAAACTTCAGATATTATAAGATTAAGAAAATTATAGATTACATAATTATGTTATTTATATTTAATATTGGTTATGTTTTATTATTAAATATATATAATTATTAAATTATTTTTCGAAAAAACGATTCGTTTTTGTGCAATTATGACTGTTTTGTGATATTTATTTATATTAGTGATGACCGACCATAAATAATGTGATAAAGGCATGCAATGGTGGTGATGATTTATTTATATTATTATAATTGATAATAAAGATTTGGTATTAGTAAAACTAGCAGAATATGATGGTGAAACGGGAAATACGTACAGATATATAACTCTATCGACTATTTAAATCTAGTTAGATAATTTTTTATATGATTAACCGGGTTTATTTTAGTGGTTGTGAAGGATGGAGATCAAGACGACGAGCAAAGAAAATGGCACCGTTATAGTCGTAAAATATTATAATGACGTATGTCATATATATAACAATATAGTGGTTATTAAAAAGTTATAAAAAAATGTTCGCAATAATTGTAAATAAAGGTTTTTACCTCTCTCGACGTTTGGTTGCACTAGCCCTGATCACGAGCTGACCACGACTAGTGCAATTCATGTTAAGATCTGGTTTATAATATGTATAATGTATATCATTACATAGTATAAAATAAAGTCGCTGTCGCTGTCTGTCCTTATATATGCTTAAATCATTAAAACTACGCAACGGATTTTGAAGCCGTTCTTTTAATAGATAGAGTGATTCTAGATTCTATCTATAATACATGTACACCCATGCGAAGCCGGGGAGAGTAGCTAGTTAAACACTAAAATATTAAAAATAGCAATGACACAAATTATTCACAGTGCTCTTCTTATAAACCCTTTTGACAATATTGCTCATAAAAACATTTTTTTTAATCTTCCATTAGTCTATAAATAGAGTGCATTTCCATTATTGTTATAACATTGTCAATGTTATTCGATATCGCCCCCTTGTAATGGATGGAGCGATTATGACGCCATCTGTCGGTGTGAATAATGAAGTGAACACCCATTACGATTGCAGGTGACAAGAGGGAAGTTTTCACAATCTGCTTACAGATTATATGGTAAGTAATTCTTAAATTAATGGATCCTAATTATATAATATTCTGTGTGCTGACAGAGAAAGTAGTATGTCATCTGTCCGTTTCGTTTCTCGATGTCGTTTAGAGTTAAGTAAAATAGTATATAGGTACTAATTAAAAAGTAATACTTAATCAATAAATAATGAAATATTGTTTTTTATTAGTATTTTTAGTTAGTCATTGCCTTGCCTTTATCCCATTATTTGGGGTCGGTGCACATAAAACTATATATATTCATACAGGACATTTTGACAATGTAATTTTTTTTATATTGATATACAACCTACTTGTTATACTACCTACTACAGCTTTAGTTGAGAATTGGCAATGAGCGAAATAAAAGGCATTTTAATTAAAATATACATAAACTAGCTGTGCTCGCGGGTGCGCGGGAAATTTATAGTCTGTGTTATTCCGAAGTATAAACTATATTATTGTAAAGTTTCATTACAATCCATTCAGTAGGTTTTTGCATGAAAGTGTAACATCCAACCATCCATTCTTCCATGCACAGTCACAAACTTCTCTGTTTATAATATTAAGATAAGTAAGATGAACACTTCAGCAGTTAATATATAATTACGGTAGTATTTTCTCTATTAAAATATTTCATTTAATAAAAAATCTAGGAAGGTAGAACTTTAAAAAAATTACTAACTGAGGACTAAATTTAATTTAACCATAAAATATTAAAATATTTTATATGTTAAAACACCTAGGAAAGTAGAGGTAAAAAAATTACTAACATATGAGGACTAAATATTTAATTTAACCATAAAATTCAAGGAAGCACCATATAATCATGGTAAATCATTTAGTTGCGTTCACAACCGTGAAATAAGGATATCGTGCGAGAGAAATGCCATTAATCTCACTGTTATATTACATCATCAAAAATATGCTGACACATCACATTTTTTGCTATCGAATTTTCGGCCTAATTTCAATTTGCCACTAATTTCAGTGGAATAAGGGAGGATGCAGTAAAAACTTCAAAAGCGCGTAACAGACTGTTAATAATTAATAGGACAGGTATGTAGGTTCGAAGTATTACTTAAGAACGTTACTCTGGCTAGACCATTCTGATAATAATAATCTCAGGACAATTCACACAGCGATATCTAGACCCAAGTTAAGCTAGCTAAAGCTTGTGTTATACATACTAGACAACAGATACAAATACATAAATAGTTTTTTTTCGTAAATATATGCATATTACACATAGAAAACACCCAGACCGATACAAACATTGATAATTTTCAGGAATGCAAATGTTTGTGCCGTGCGAGGAATCGAACCCGCGACCATCAAAAGTAAAGCGGTGTGCTAAACCGCTAGACCACCGAGGCGGTCGAATTAAATACTTTGCGCCTTTGGTATCATATTAAATGCTCTTGTATTATTATTTTCTTATACATTTTAACAAGCTAAAGTATGGTAAAAATTTAATGAAAAGTGGCGACCGTTGCCTATTCGAAGCATGTTAGTATTGGCATCACGTCATCACATGACGCGGTTACTCATTCCTCTGTACCCTGTAATTTTGAAGCCATATCACACTTTGTAATACGTCTACTTCAGACGACGTGACCCATAGAAACAAAATTGATGTCTTGTATTATCTTATATCTTCTTCAGTCGGTTAATGACTCATTATTGATTCGCAGTCAACGAATAGTTATTCATTAATTTGCTACTTATTTATTTATTCTTTAATGAACAATATAACTTTTATAAAAGACGAGTTTAATGCCGTATGGCATTCTCCACCAGCAAACCTGTTAGTATTCAGAAAGCGTTGTGACGAAAATCTGTTACAAAGTTACATATGTACATAGGTACTATCTTTATTAGTAATTTTGTGTCATATACATATATATTTAATTTAGATAAAATCCTCTTTAGAGAGGGCAGGACGGTGGTGTTAGTAATATAGCAATAATCTATGTGCAAAGTGCTGTGTTCAATTCAATCAGATCCGATATTTTTTTTATACCACGATGTTGGTCATATTCCTCCTCTCGGGACCGGGACCCGCCAGCAGAAGACAGTGTACCAGTTCATATACAAATTCAAAATATGTTTATTCATGTAGGTCTATTACAGACTATTATGATATGTCAAATCTACCGTTCTAATTGTTTTCAAGATGTGAAGAACTGACAAGACACTCAGCTCGTATTCCTTTCAACTAAATATTGTACGTATTTCAAAAATAATACAAGATTCATTTAAATTCAAATTTGGGAGAATAAACTGACCACCAGCATATGCTATTGTAAAAACAGTCTAATCAGTGTTCGTAACCTGAACAGACCAGTCCTCACAAGCAGCACCCGTTCACGAGTATCTCCATTCTCAACCATATTAGAGGGAGCACATTGACCCGATACATTCATTAAAGAGGATATCTAAATATACCTGGGCGTTAGGTGTCAGTGCTGCCGAAATAGCGTTCTGCTGGGCCGCTGCCGCCGCAGCTGCCGCCATGCTGGCTCCGAGCGGACCGTAAGCGGCGCCGTAGTATCCGCCCATCGCTTGGCCCATACCGCCTCCCGCCATGCCTGCCAACAACAAAATATCACAGATTAATTAAATTTGATTTATTCTATACCTTATCTATATATAACCCAAAGGTGACTGACATAGTGATCTATCAACGCACAGCCCAAACCACTGGACGGATCGGGCTGAAATTTGGCATGCAGGTAGATGTTATGATGTAGGCATCCGCTAAGAAAGGATTTTGATAATTTCTGTTCCCAAGGGGATAAAATTGGGGATGAAAGTATGTATGAAACTTTGTCAATTTTAAATCGATCGGGCTGAGACTTTGCATGCATAAAGCTACTATGATGTAGGCATCCTCTAAGAATGGTTTTTGATAAATTCTATCCCTAAGGGGATAAATTAACGCAAGCGAAGCTGCGTGCAAAAGCTAGTTAATATTATAAAAGCGAAAGTTTGTGAGTATGGATGGATGTCACACTTTCACGCAAAAACTACTGAACGGATTATGAGGAAACTTTCAGGAATATAACTTATACATATAAAATATATATTATAGTATAAAATAGGTTACAAGTTTAAAGTATTTAGTTTTTTATAATCAAAACAAAAGAAAAAAGGGAGCTGCACGGAGCAATTATTTAGAGAGTGTTACCAACGTATTAATTTTAGTAACTGGTAGTAGACAAAGTCAGTTTTAATAAAATTATTATTGAACCTTCGTAATCACATAGAAAGCATTATGTAGTATTTTTTTAATAATTATAAGTTATAATAGAGACACAATTTTTACTATAATATAAAACGAAGTACTATTACTTACTATTTAATTATTAATTTATTTACAATTAATAATTAAATACTACCTATTTTATATACAGCACAATTTACACTACGTTTTATAAGAGTCGTAACCGTCCTTATGAAAATTAAAACAAAATTTTATCAATGTAAGAATATGTAGAAATGGTTAAAAAAAAGAAAAGCTTTCACAGTTGTATACAAAAATAATTTCATTGTAAGTGAGGCAACCCAAGGTCTGTATTGGTCGACAATTCCATATTTCAAATATCTCCCGACAAAAGAAAAAAAAATCCTCCCAACATTGTAGAAACGTTCGAAATTCGAAATACACAAGTGGAAATTCCAGATTTGAAATATCTATTTCACTTCACACCTCGGTCGGGAAGTGGCCTTCGTAATGGACAGAACTCTATTGAGTCCAGCACAACAACTCTCATAATGGCGCGCCGGGAACTCGGATTTGAGCACCAATTAATTATTTCATTGTGCCATGAATAATCTGGCGGCCCTCGAGTGCTATTAACTAACGGTCAGTTCCTTAGAGGTGTTTATTAAATGGGTCTTAGTTTGGGTTAGATTATTAATTCATTTGGGTGAGTAGGAAGATAATTTTCAACAAACATAAATTGCTTGATAACTTGTACACCAATTGAAAACTACATTGCATTTAAGGCATCAAAATATTAATATCGATTGTCTACCGGTTATAAAAATATTAACACAGTAAAACCCAATTTGAATAATATTATAAACGATAATCTGCAATCGATGTCAATCGAACTCTCGAGATTCGATAAACATCATAATCTCCAACACGAAAACATAAAAATAACCGACAAAATTAGGATGTCACGACACGCTAAGCACTCGTATTGGTATTATATGCAAATCGAAATCCAACACTTCATGTCTTGCCGCATAAAGAATTCGAAATTCGAATTTAAATAAAAAAAATATATGAGACACCCTCTTTAGTGGTGACGTCAATCGAATCTACAATATATTATACGTAAGGACGTTGTTTGCGGTTGATATAATGCGAATTCGCCAGTTGGTGTTCTTTATTCTGTTCACGCAAGGTTGAATATAGCTATGACAATTATTTTCGCGACGGTAGACGCCGCCTGGTTTTTAAAAGGGACGATCGGGATTTTTTTTATTATATTTATAATTAAATTCGCTGTCATCTCTTGTGGGTGTTCAACAACGTCTCTGTCTGGTATTGGCGTGAAAACGATGGAAACTCACTTCGAAGTTTTTTCAAGAGTTTTATTAATTTAGTGAAATATCGGATGAGTGTTTATACCTATTTTGGCTGAAAATTTTCACGAAATATAAAGTAGAAATAAGGCAAGCTATTGACCGATTTCGATAGAAGATTTTTGATTGAACATCAGAATTTCATATTTGTTTAAGTATTAACGGTAAATAATGGCCCACATGATGGAAAATATTAATTGTATACTATAATTAAAGAATTGTGTTATACACGTCTGTTGAGATAATCATTGTTTGCATTGAACGTTAGCGCCAAAAACATTTTTCGATATTCAATCTTTCCGTCACATAATTGCCATATTCGATTTTTAAATTTCACATACACAAAAACTGAGGTTCCATATTCAAACGAAATACATATACATACGTACACGCGATTTATTACATTCCATTTTTAAATTGCTACAGTTTTACACATACACAAACAAAAATTCCATATTCAAACATAAAAACATATTTGAACACGCGATTTTTTACATTCCATTTTTAAATTGCTACATTTTTCTTCATACATACATACACAAACAAAGATTCTATATTCAAAAGTAACACTACATTATTCACAAAGATCAACAATATGGACTATAATAAAATTTCATACGCGACTCGCCCCGAGCCCCACACAATATCCCTCCATTTTGGACGTCCACCTTTTTGTGCATTCATAATGAGCGGCTTCCTTCCCAACATACCTAATATGTTAATATGAAAATATAGTACCGGCTATTGTGAATATCGAAAGGTCGGACGTAGGGTGAAAATGGGATTTTCGGGTTTCCCTTTCAAGCGCATTTCTTTCTTGAATGCGTTAAATTTCACGGAAAACTCCACCGATCAGGTGTTCTAGTGTATTTGATCTATTGATAGTGTAGTGGACGCTTTGTATAGACCACCCTCTCTGTTTTTGGTTGCGAATATTTTTTTGGGGCTGAATGTGCGGAATATTTTTTACTCATTTAAAAATAAGGAGTTTCTAAATTGGTGAATTTTTTTTATAATATAATAATATCTCAGGACAATGCATACATCGCTATCTAGTCCCAAGCTAAGCTGACAGATAAATACATTGTACATACATACATATACATAGGAAACACCCAGATCGATACAAACAATCATGAATACAAATGTTTGTATTGTGCCAGGAATCGAACCGCGACTATTGGAAGTAAAACGGTGTGCTAAACCGCTAGACTATGGAGGAGTAGTAGAGTAGTATATAAATATTAAACAAGTGATATTCTCGACAATTCTGAAAGGATTTAAAGTCGTTTCTTATCTCGATAAATTTAATTCCATTGAGTCTCTTATGGGTAATAATTTACTCAGTTACAAATTTGATCAAGCTTATTTCTGAGTGATAAATAATATTATTGGAACAAGAAAATATGTTCTATTATTAGTGTGATTTAAAAATCAAAATGCCTGAAAACACTGTAACGCTTAAAACGAGCCGCAAAACTTATAATCTAAACAGAAAGAAATTACTTTGAACTTCTTCAAATTAATTTGGTACAAAATTAGTCATTATACCGTTTTGATATAAATTTTGCAAGGATTCCTTTGTTGCCATTAAATTAAACCCGTTCGCGAATTAATTGAGTTTTTGACGACAGCGGTTCGGTTATTTTGGAGTACAATGGTGTTTGATTTCTATGGTTTCGGACCCCGACTAGGAGAAGGGTGAGTATCGTTCGCCATTCCCATAACTAAGATGCTAAGTAGAGTAACCAAAAATTAGCTGGATATAGTTTTCTGGTATAGTTTTCTAAATTTTATATATATGTGTTTCCCATAACATATATCATATATATAGTACCTATATACGTCATCGTTGTGATTAGAGCGTACACTCATATATTTGAATTCGACATAGTAATATACAGACTTTTAAAATTGCAATCGATAATAATAGTCCCGAGTTCGATTCCTCGCACGGTGCAAACATTTATATTCATAAGTTTGATTTATATCTGTCTGGGTATTTTTAATGTATTATTATGTATGTACTTACAAAAAAAATATTTCTAAGTATTTATATCAGTTGTCTAGTAAGACAAGATCCATAAGATAAGCTCTGCTTACCGTGGGGCTAGATGGCGCTGTGTTAATTGTCCAGGGTTACTAAAAAAAGTGGCAGTTTACTGTCACAGCGCGGTTGTTCTAGTAAATACTATATACATAAGGTGACACACATCATTATGATATCTAAGGCTTATTATATCTTTTTATTATTATTATATCTTTTTATTTATTTTTTATTGGGGTTTAGGGCTACTTATCGTCAGGTGCTAAGACCTGTGACTCTGCGACCTGCATAGATCTATTGTGCTCGCCCTTTCTCAAATTTCGCTGCCTAGACCCGTGAGGGACGAGAATTTAGGGATATTATTACGAGCGTTGGTTTTTATCTCCTCAGGATATAGTGTATACAGTACAGTAAGCAAATGACAAGCGAAAATTCTGCTGTTTCACAAGATACACCCCTCGTATCCACCAGACGGAGCTAACAAACCGTGGATAAATTGATAGATTAGTCACAGTTTCTGCAAATCATCGCTCGATGTATTCATTCTATAGTTTTATTGCTATAACATTTTTTTTTTCGAAAATTTAATTATTTTATAGAACTCCTTTATTTTATTTCTCTTTACTTTATTAACTATATTAACTTCCTTTAAAATGAAATGAAAAATGTTTATTTCTTTAAAAACAATTTGGTTACAATAACACAGTGTTGGGATGACCTAGTCACATTGTGTTTTTTTTTCTTTATTTAGTTATGTTATACACCTATGTATGTAACATACTATATATATACATTAACTATGATAATTGCTTATTTTATTAATTTCAAGTGTTTGAAAACTTTACGAGATTCGATTTTGTTTGCACGAATTGCATCGAAAAGATAATCTATATCCGTTCTTGCGATACAGTCTATATACTCGCCATATTTCATAAAGGTCTGTTT